TTTTATTTTATTTTGCCCTGTAATTTTACTTCTAAAAACCTTACTTTAGGCAATCTAATATAGGTACAAGAGTATTTGTTGTACTGTGATATTATGAAAGAGAAAATGGAAATCTCAATATCCAATGATAATGTAATGGTTAAATTAATTGAGTTATAACTATATGATAGACTAGTATGCAATGAATGAAATTATGTTTCTAAAATTAGTATTTCACAACACAGGAAATGATTATAATACGATCGCTGAGAATAAAACTTCAGATATCTAAGTTTTATAAAAACGGTATATACATGTATAAAAATTTATATGGATAATTTTTATTTTCTTCTTTATACATTTTATATTTCCAAGATTCTGTACAATGAATATTAAAATGCATTTTTAAATATATACAAAGGATGCATAAGAAAGAAATAGAACCTTCTTCTTTTGGCTGTCTCTAGACAACCATTTCCTTGATTTAGCTCCTTGGTTTCTGTGTTAATTTTTGTATTTAGACTCATTTTATTCTAAGCCTTCGTGACACTGTTGTTATTGTTAGTTGTCTTTGAGTCAATTCTGACTCAGGGTGAGCCCATGAGTACAGAGTAGAACTGCTCCATAGGGTTTTCAAGGCTGTGACCTTTCAGAAGCAGATTGCCAGAACTGTCTTCCAAGGTGCCTTTGTGTGGCTTGAAACTGCTAAACTTTTAGCTAGTAGTCGAGCCCTTAAGCATTTGCACCACCCATATTACTCATACAATAATGGTTGAAAGTGATGGGGAAGGGACCCAGAAGAAAATAACATTTATCAAATGCTCACTCTACCAGTCTCTAGCTCCGTTCCTTTTTATATATACAGTAAAACTTGTATTTCAAAGATGTGTTCCTCATGGCAAATAGTAGTGGGATAGACAAATAACTGTCGATGAATCCTTGTGTCTTTACCAACACACTCATGCATGCAATATATTTATTGGAGCTGAAATTAAAGTGTTTAGGATGGAAACAAATTTACAGTATAGCCTAGGCTGTTTTGTGGTCCAGGGCTCTGGCTTGAGTGGTTTCCTAATAAAATAAACTACAGGTTTGATTAATTGGACCTTAAATAGATTTTTAGAAATCAGCATTTATATCTTTGTAGTACATAAAGAATGAGAAAGCACCAGGAAGTGCCAAGAGTTGTCTTCTATTTGTTTTAGCTTCACTTAGGAGCATGGCTTAATAGCTGGAACTCAAGAGTCCTGGGTTCTGATGCGAGGGTTTTTCAGTAATTTGTCGAGAGGTCTTGAACAAATCAAATAACCCTTTGGAAAACATTTCCTTATCTGTAAAATGGGGCATTGGGCTAGGCACAGTGATTTTTCAAACTGTGCCTGGTTGAAAACTCTAGGGAGGCAAGCATTATGAGAGTTTTTGCTTATGGATCTGAAGGACCAATACAGTACAGGGAACATAACTAGCACATAACGAGCACTTGATAAATATGAGTTGAATGAATGACTTCACCCTGCCTCCCTGCCTGGGTGTCTGTCTCCCCAGTACAGCTTTACCCAGAATAATTCTGCTTGTATCTATTTCATACATTGGACCACAGGTAAGATTTCATTTAAAAAAAAAAAAAGATATATAGCTGCTGAAAATAAAAGTTTGAAATCTCTAGGCTAAGTAATCTTAAAGATCCTTTCAAGTCTATGACAATTCCATGTTACTAATTAGTGCTATTGTTTAAAAAAAAAACAAAACAGGTCACAATACCTCTTACTCTCATTTTCCTCTGCTATACATTACTGCGGAGCCCTTTGAATCCACCACTGCTCCTTGGAAACCCTATGCGGCAGTTCTACTCTGTCCTATAGGGTCGCTATCAGTTGGAATCGACTCAATGGCAATGAGATTTTTTTGTTGTGTTGTTGCAGTTTATGCATTACTAATTTCTATGATAGACCTGCGTATAAATTGTATTTATGACAGAGAGAGGGAATGGCCTGTGTTTTGGCAGACGAGTCAGAGGCATAGGCAGAGAAGGGAGTGAAAGGATATGGCAGTCACTTGGTGACATGCGGACATCAGTATATGGCATCAATCAAAATAACAAATGAATTGGTGTCATAAGTGAAATAAAGCAAAACAGGAAAGATACACTTAAAAATGTAATAAAAATCCTCTTTTGATTCAATTTAATATTGCAGATATTAGATTTCATTTGCAGCATGAATCCTGAAGGAATTAAAAGGAAATAAAATGACAATTACCAAAATGAATCTAAAAATATTCAAAAACCCTGCAATGTAAATGGATTGGAGTAGAACTATCCATTTTTCTATTAAACCATTCAGTGTCATGTTTGTGTCTGTGTGTGTATTTTTAAATACATTATTTTGCTTTCATAGTGCTATGTGTCAGGCTAAACTGGAATCAATTGCCACTCTTTCACTTAATTCCTACAATAAGCTTATGAAGTAAGCACTATTATTATCCCCATTTCACAGATGAGGTTTATGGTTGTCGTTAGTTGCTGTGGCGCCAGCTCCAGCTCATCGTGACCTTATGTCTAACAGAATGAAACTGTGCCAAGTTCTGTGTCATCTTCACCATTGTTGGTATGTTTGAGCCCATTCTTGTAGTTATGATGCTACACCAAGGTTATAAGAAAGGACCCCCCTAGGAGCCCTGGTGGCATAGTGATTAAGAGCCTGGCTGCTAACCAAAAGGTCAGCAGTGCAGATGCACCAGCTGCTCCTTGGAAACACTATGGGGCAGTTCCACTCTGTCTTATAGGGTTGTTATGAGTCAGAACCGACTCGATGGCGCTTAACAACAGGCAGCATGAGCTCCCATGTCAAAGACCAGAATGAGCAAGGGCTCCAGTGCAAAACGGTGTGCCTATCTTGCTGACATTTTCAGCTGCCTAAGCTGTACAGAAAGCTGGTGAATACACTTTTCACTCACTTGACATGAATGCACTTGTAAAAAGAAAAATTTTCAGAGTGAAGAAAACAGAGAGAGAGCAGAGTTTTCTCAGCCAGTGCTAGCATGTCAAGTTAGAAGGGTGCTTTTGTTGATTTTGTTTTCTTGTAACCG